TACATTTTAGAGAGAAATTTTGGAAGGCAATTTGAGATTAGCCAAATCCACAAAGAGGTTGATCTGCACTGCAGACATTATACAACATTTCACATGTACAATGCCAATCTGAGGTCTATATGTATTTTCCAGTTATTTCACTTGATATCTAATAACTTTATATGCATTTAGCACAGAAAAAATACTCATGACTAAATATGTTCTTCTGCTGATCAGCAGGGTCACGTGGGAGGTCAGAAGATCGGTACAGCCCATGAGATTCTTGTTATTGAAATCGCACTGCCTCTTCATTGGGAAGGATATTATTTTATATTGAGTTTATACTATAATTTTTGAAGCCATATTCGAATATGTCCAAGAGGAAAAAAAATCACACTTTGAAATTTACACTTTGATTGCCATTTATCCAAGAACCAATTCATTTTACCTATACTCAGTGCTCGTAGATTTAATTTATGATGGTTAATATTTACTCTAAACCTTCAAGTGACATTTATTTTTCAATAAAATACCACATTAAAATATTTCCTCCAATTATCCATTGTTTATTATTCATTCTTCTGACTTCAAGGAAACAGAATCTATATATGTTGTAAAGGCTTTCTTATTGCGTATTCTAAGCATGTATGTTATTTTTAGCTTACCTGAGCAAAAGGCTATCGAATCAATTGTTTTTCATTGTTGTTTCACATTTTGACTTCTTCTCCAAACGAGTCAATAAATCTCAAATAAACTTGCCATGCAGCATTCTTGGTTGAAGGGGATTCAAGTCTTTTCAATTAAAGTTGGAATATTTCCTCTCCAAAAATTTTTTTCTATAGAACAAGGGCTTTGATTTGTCAAAATGATATACAAGCTTTCTCATATGATGCAGATTTAAATTCTTTCCTTGGGATTATGATAGATCACAATAACGGATCAAAGTTTTATATGTGAACATATAGAGAAAAAACCTTTAAAATCCTCTTTCCAAGAACGACTGGATCATGGTTGCTCTCTTCATATGCAATCGTCATCAGTTGCTGCCGATTGAAGTTGTTTAAGTTGTTTAAGTCATGGCCTCGGGGAGTAAGGTGAGATCACAATAAGTTTTATATGGGAATATATAGACTGATTGATTGATTGTATATTGTTTAACGTCCCTCTCGAGAATTTTTCACTCATATGGAGACGCCACCACTTGCCTGTGGAGATCTGCAAATTTTGTCCTATACTCGGCACTTACGGCCATTGAGCAGTGAGGGATCTTTTTCGTGCCAGCACCTACTGCGACACGGGACCTCGGTTTATACGGTCTCATCCGAAGGACCGGTCTCCACGTCCCACAGTGGGATTCGAACCCGCGACGTAAGGATCAACTCCTTACTTCGCGACTCTAGAGCAGACGCTCTAACCACTGCGCCACGCAGGCAACAGGGGAATATATAGAAAAAATTCTATAAAAATCTTCTTGTAAGAACAGCAGGTCTATGATTAGCCATATGGATCTAAATGTGCAAACAGCTTAGGTATTGCAGATTCAAGTTTGTTCAAATCCTGGCCACATGGGGAAAGATAGAGGCAAACGTCTTTTCAAAAAGAAAGATCGTATTTAATCCTATTAATTTTCAAATTCCCAAGAAGTGCATGTACGACCCAGTTCATGCTCAGGAAATGTAGAGTGTGATCATAAAAGGGGATAAAGGTGATATTTGAGAATAATTTTTAGGAAATTATAAAAAGAACTCTTCAACTCATCAGAGTCCCACTAAATCATATAAAAATGCAAACATTCCGAAGTTGTATTGATTATTTTAATTATGGACCTTGAGGTTGGGTCGTGGCTAAAATCGGGAATCAAATTTTCCATAAATCGTGTACAAAGGTAAAACTTCTCCAACATAATAGAACCATGTTGATCACATTGATTTTGAAGCATCCTCCATGCTGATTGGATTGATATTGAGGCATCCTACATGCTGAGTGGATTGATACTGAAACATCCTACATGCTATTGGGATTCAAGTTCGGTTCAGTCATAAACCTTTGGGGCTGCAATATGGGGTCAAATTCAAAGGTATAAAACGCAAATTCCAAGGTGATTCATGTGAGCGCTGTTTCCCATGTGCCTCTTGTTTATTTCTTTCTTTTGAGTAACATCTTTATTTGTTTACTCATGAATTGAATGATGGGGAAGAGGTAACAATGTTACCTTGAAACAAGTGGGAAAGTCTTTGATATACCCCTGAATATTATACAAATGTTACTAAAATGCTTGAATAAGCCTCTGGTCTCAAAAGAATTCTCATTTCTACATTTACGTATCACAACATGTATATTTTGAAGGACAGCTCATTTTTTAGCTGCATCTAATTAAGATTAATTTCTGTCTTAAATAAATATGCTTAAGAATTTCCTTGACTTAGAATGAGATGAAGTTCGTCTTTAAAGTTACTATGTATTTAAGCAAATACAAATACAAAAATCTGAGAATCATTCGTCTTGTTCATTATGATATATGACTTCTAATTCAAGAAGGAAACGCTATATGCGGTCAAAATAAGAAAGAACAAATTGTACGTACAGAGATCACACATTGAAGTTTAAGGGGAAAAAAAATAAAATATGTTGATATTTTTTTTTTTTTTTTTTTTTACAAATTACATGTACTTTGTATGGCATTTCCACTTGTTATTTAAAGTAGAATAGGATTACAACTTTAACTATATAAAAGAAAATGGGCGAACGAGGCTTGCAAAATGCCTATGATTCGACAAAAGAAGTAAATATTTTAATCTCAATTATATAAAAAAAAATCAGTTAACATTTTGTATACTTTACAAGGGTCGTTTTATAAATAATGCAAAAAGTGATCTAAAAATAATGAAAGATCAAGAAGCAATTTCTTTATATTAATTATAATCCCTCAAAGTATTCCCTGTTAACCTTTACACATGTCTAAAGTAATTGTACCCATGATCAGAACACTTCAGTATACTGTTATTTTAGGCACATTCAAAAGACACTGATGGATTGCAATCTCCATGACATACCTAAAATTACAGTTTTTCCTTTAATTGTTTTTCTCGAGTTTTTAGAGTAAAAGAATCTCACAATAACGGGGAATGGCTAAGCTCTGTTAGCCTTCATTTCGTCAAAATTTCCTTCAAATCCCAATGCTTTTTTGCAGCAGTGTTTTCAGACACAAGAATATTAAATTTAGGGACCGGTATTTGGTAATTCCTCACAGCAAAGCTCCCGAACCTTTCTTAATGCAATTTTAACATAAAAAACCACCATTGATGGTCCTTCTTTTGAGAGTATGTTTGCGTATTATCGGACCTCCTGACTAAGAGGAAACATGTATAAGACTTGTTTGAAGCGCTGGGTTTTTCTTTGCTATAATAAGACAATTTTCTCTCTTATTCCATTTTTCATTATTATTTCTTTTATATACTAAAAAGTGCCACCCATCACCCAAGTTTATCATACCTTCTTTTGCAATAATATCGACCTTTTTAATAGACTTTTAGCACATTTAACGCAAGTTTTCTCTTAGGCTTCTGTAAGAACTTAAGACACCCATCTGATATAGAAATATTTTTAGATTCATATTTCCTTTGTCAGAATGCAATAAACTGTAATGAGGAAATGGTGTCTTTCCAATGTCTTTCACGGTCAATCTAGCATTTACAGATATCGACTTGCTCACAGTATCGAACTTTTCTGGTGTCCTTACTGATTTTGATTGACCAGTTCAAGTGGTATTTTGTTACATTCCTTTTCCATTTTAGGATTTCTTAATTCATATGAACACTACACAGCGTCAAGGTCTTGTCTTTCCATATATCAAAACCACATCTTTCATATTGATCGACAGCGATTTTTGTAATGAAGCCCAGTTTTTACATTCCCCATAATTTTCATCGTTTTGGCAGAGACCATTTTCAAATAGTTGTAAGCTCAGTGTAGTGACCATGCTTACATTAAAAGTGAACTTGTTTACGAGGTCTGAAGGAAAATGCAGGCCGTTTTGATGATTATGAGGTCTTAAATAGTAGTTCTTGACTGTGAAAAATAGATTTAAGTGCTTCTATATTTATTACAACAAACTGTATGATGCATTACTCATTGAACGACCATCGAATGAAAAATCACCACAATCTTCAACAATCTCAGTGCATACATTTTTACTTATTTTGCCTAACAAAACATGGAGCAAGGGCCCACTCTCCCTTAAAAATACACTTTCATGGCACGAAATTCGTTTCTTTGCAAGAAGTATTTGAATCTCAGTTATTCAAGGATTATATTACAAAGAAGATAAAAATCCCCTTCCCTGTTGTGAGGTGTATGTAGTGTAATGGTTATCGTGTCATCCTCTAAGGAAAAACCCAGAAAATCTATTATAATTATCATTTTTTCTTTACCATAACATGATTTTTGCAGAGGGAATTTCCCACATTAAAAATTTTATTTGTTATAATTCTTTACCTTTCAATTGTCATTTTTTTCTTAATACATTGTATACAAATTGAATTTGTATTTAATGCTATAAGCATTTGGCACGCCTTGTTCACTCATCTTCTTACTTAAATTATTAATTTAATAAGCACGCGACAACAAATATTCTTTTTTGTTTTAGGATTTAATCCACTTAATGAAGTTTTAAATAATTCAAACATAAAAAAACAAGTGTATTTCTTGAAAATATATACAATTATACAATTTATCTCTTTAGGGATCTTAAGACTTTTTTTTCTGGACAGATTTTATAGCTTAGCTTTCACAGCTGGCAAGGTCGATCATTTAACCTTCCTAAAGGATTCTGCCATCGTTAAGGGATAAATCAGCTATATTTTATTTGAAGGGTAACACAGAAACACTGATTTACTATAACCTTTGTCAAGCTGTCTGTATACATGATTAATAAAGCAATGAGATCTCAATTTTCATTGGTGGACCCTGTCCTTAAAAGGATTCGCACACTGATGCCTTTTATTTAACAAACTTGTTGACTAATGCGTTCAGTAGTATTATTTTGCTTATTTTATTTGTTTGTTGTGACCTCAGATGTCCTGGGTCAAAAAAGAAGAGACCACAGAAAAGGCAGACATAATCGTATCAGATCTGACCCAGCTGGAGGTAGTATATCATTTTGTTTATTCATTCATTTATTCATTTAACTATAAAAATAGCTTTTTTATGAAATTATAAGAACAGGTTTAAGAGCAGGTTTATAGCAAGTATGTTTACTTTTTTAAATTTCTGAATATAACGAGTAATTATTCATAGAGAAGCAGGAATATGCACGTCCTGGTGGCGGGAGTTGAACATTCAGAACTAATTCGTTTCGCAGACCCCAATTGTCTGTTAAAAAAAGTAAAATACTCTAAATATTTAGAGTTACTGAAACTAACATAAATCAATTGTTAAATGTGCGAATAACATAGCAAGAATATCCATCGATAGGTCACATCTCTGGAACATGGCAGAGAAGAACTCATGGGAATCATGAAACTAATAGAGGTATGGGTTTTTTTTAATATACGTATTTTTATAGATCTTCTATTTTGTATATACATGTAATCAAAAATCATATCTACTTTAATTTTTAAAAGAAACCCCTTTTCCAAAATTTATTTTGTCATATCTGACTTTAAAGGGTACTATTTTTCATAGAACGCAGAGCTCCATTGTCTTCTCTTCTTATATTGAATGACATTTAATAGGCAATTTACAATCTGGTAATTCTAAACTGGTATTTTAAGCTTAAAATTAACACTATTTTGGTAATATATAAAAATTAACACCACAGATCCCCACTTTCCATTTTCTTTTGTGGATATACAAGATAATTTTAAACATTCTGCTTAAATTCAGAAGAATGTCATTACTTTCAAATGATTTTATTGCTTGTTAAATTTTTAATGCCAGAAAAAATGACATTTTTCGACAGCAAAAAGATCAAATAATTGACTATGCGAAGTAATTTGAAACTTTTTTTTGTTTCACAAATTTTAATGTGACTATTCAAGATGAAAAAGACTGTGTTTATTCCCATTAAATATTTAGATGAAAAATATAAGAGGAAAAACTTTGAAAAATTGATTTAATGGTTAGACGTAATTACGGTGCAAAGGGTATTACTTAATACTCCATAGCGCCAAAAAACCACATTGACCCCCATTTTTTGTTTTGAATTTTAATTAAGCTATGTGAATAGATTCTAAAAATATGCGTGATTAAAAAAAATCTAAATACATTTGATAACAGGATCCAACTTCGTTAAGGTAATAATAATTCATGGAATCCTCGTAAAATCATATTGAAGCGTTACTTTAGGGAAAGACTCGGTGTATATCTTATCTCTTTCTCAACACACAAACTTGATATAAAACATTTAATTGGCTTCATAATGTAAATTTAAAGATGAAATATATGGAGATAACGAACAGTATTCAAGCTCAAAAGTCCATTAAACAATACAAATTTTGGAGCAGAGCAAACACGGACCTCTAAAACATCAGAGGTGGGATCAGGTGCCATGGAGGAGTGAACATCCCCGGCCGACCGGTCACATGCACCTGTCGTGTGCTCTTTGTCATTGACAACTCAGTGTGTAAATAATGGCCTAACAATTAGTATGAAAAACGTCAGTCAGTATTTGACTTTAAGATAAATTGTATTTGCTGACAAGGTCATTTACGAAATGATGACTTTAAACGAGACTGCTGATATTCTTATTTCATCAACTTGTTTGTCAATTTACCTACCTCGTTTTAGAAATTGGTCATACTTAGAGCGTATCGAATCAACAGAGAGATATAAACTTCCGTATGCAGGTGATAAAGGTATATTGCTACATAAGTAAGGGAAGTTGACGATTGAAAAGTTAAAGTCATCACGTTTATCATAAAGCATTCTTTATATAACATATATATAACATTCAGCAATGTGCTCATAGCTACGATAACTTCTTAATGAATGATTTTCCGCCAAATATCGTCCCAGCTAAATTCCTTGTATTTTCAGTATATATTTTTAAAAAATGGTGTTTTTTTTATTTTTACATACAGAAAGGGGATAACTCAAAAAAAAAATTGAACTTGATTTTATGATTATACGCATAAGAATAAAAAAAACACAAACGAACGATACATTTTTAGAGGGGTAAATGGGACGAGAATCTAAAAATTAATTTTCTCTGACGTAATCAACAGGCCAAATTTTTTTTTTTTTTTTTTTTTTTTTTTTTAGTTTCAAAAGACTTTTGTATCGTATCGTATCGATATAAGAATGGAAATAACCATTGTTAATTGACAATACGTCCTCGATATATAAGATATCTTAGCCATTAAATTTACTTAGAACTTTCTCTATGTGTTTTTAATAATTAGATCAGACCTCGAGACCACAAACTGTGAATAGACTTAAGTCAAAATTTCAAAAAATATTACTTTTACGATATCTTGTTAATCAAGCAAAAAATTATTATGTGATTGTACATATATCTGAATATTACAGAAATCTGCAATTTTTAAACACAGGTGTGAAATAAATATCAAGATATTCAAAATCAAAAGAAAGACTTTGATTTAAGGTTTCAAGGCATGGTCTACAAGTAAAACCATTTTAAGAAACATACTATTACAATGAAAAAAGTGCATAATGAACAGTGATCAATTTCGTCAATCTTGTAAGCAATTCGAATCGGGAACAAGGCAAAAACACAGACCCCTAAAAATGAGATGGGATTAGGAGTCAGAAGGAGTGAGTAACTGTGAACCGGCCAATCTCTGGATTAATATAAGTAAGAAGGAAAACAACAAGCAATATTACAAATCCTCTAAGTAAAACGATGAAAAAGTAGAAAAAACAAGGGACCCCTGAGTAAACATTCCCTGTCGACCGGTCGCCTTGTGTATTAATCAAATAAACGGAGTAATCCGTTATCAAAATGAGAAATAAACAATGGTTTAACAATCGGAATGAGACATGTCAGTCAATAACGACCCAAAGGTAAGCTGTATAAGCAGATAAGACCATTATAACGACCATAGAATTTGCGAGAAACTGTCTTTTAACGAGATTGTTAAACTCCCTGTCACATAAACTTGTTTATTAATAGGCTTACAAAATGCTCGCAACGACAACATGCCGTTGCGTACGGAATTAGTTGGGAGACTTAAACATCATGAACAGATGAAAAATGAATATCACTACATTGTTATAGGAAGGTGACGATTAAAAGGTTAAAGTAATACTGTTTGCCATATAGTTTAGTTGTTAGTTGGTCATTAACATCTATAGTCAGTAAGCAACCAAATATGAAACAGATAAACAAGTTACATTTTTGACTCATGCTTTTTAAATCCAGGACACCGCTTTTATCGATAAAAAATCTTTAATTTCAAGAATTATGAATCTTTTCAATTGTTGTCAGGAAATACGACCGACCAAAGACAAAATACAGAGGTGCAAAGAGGAGGACGTTATCATCAACAGGGGCAAAATTCCAGGAGAGGTATTTGATAAGAAACACGTGTATCAACATCAGTTAACGGGCTCTTTTAAAATAACGAAACAAAACCATAGAATGCATTTTATCTCATTTTTATAGCTTATGATACTGCAATATACATTGTTTTAGGAGGGATTTTTATCTAGATTATTATAAACAAATTATGATATTGAAATATCTTTTACTCAAAATTAAAAATAATCTAGGAATAAATCGAATTTCACGAATATTCAGAAAATACACGAAAAATCTTATATTGTCTCTTATATTGTGACTGTAAAACAATATATATTGTGTTAATTCAATTATAATATCACTAATTCCAAAGAATTGATATTTTATGGTACGAAGAAAAAATCATTAATCATTTGATATAATTAGATTAGTGTATGAGAATATTTGTTACCTATCAAAAGTGATTTAAGAGAAAGCAAGTGCTAAAGATGATACTCTTTCAATAGAGTCATAGTATTCTGTGCTTTTTAAATATTTAGGTTCTTTCTTAATCCATCATTTTGTCACACAGATGACACACAGATGCTTACATTCATATATGTAACTCCCAGACACCAAACTGTAATATGATGTTTTGATACATCAAAGATCACGTGTTTAAACCTCGTCTCAGATTCTTTAACGCTTTCACTGCTATAAAGAGTCAGAAATAATTGAGATCATTTATAAATGAAAGATCGAACAATATTCTTTTTATTCTCTGTATATATATAAATGATAACAATAGTGTCAAGAATTGATAAATAGAAAAAAGTAAGTGATAAATTTCCTAAGGTGTGGTCAAAGATGGGTTAACGAACCAATGATCACAGAACTCTTTGTGGTTTATTCGTTTATTACTTTTCATGGGTTAAATATAGCTATAATTGTGCAATTAATTTAGATATATTATGTTTCTATTAAAAAATTTAAATCGAAAATTCAATAACCTCAGACTATGTAATGAAAAAGAGGCTTAAGGATGACGTTTACTCAGATGACCAAAAAATCTACTGATAAGAATGAAAAACCACCTACTGTACATTGTACACCTATGATTCTTGTGTGATTTTTGACTTTCAAATAACTAGGTCAATGACCTACTTATCACGTTAGTGGTCCCTTAGTATTTCTCGGAAAATTTTTCACATTACGACCAATATTTCTTTATTTCACAAAATATTACAAGAACAAAACTCTTTAGATAACAAAATATAACAGGAACGGCTTAGTTTTGCTACATTGAAATAAACAATTAGAATTTGAGCCGTAATTTTTTTAATTATTCCAGTCAGAATTTCCTATGTCAATTTTTAATTTTTACCAATTTTTAATCTAATATTACAAAAATCTGTATTGATAAGAACTCTTAATAACCTAAGTTAATTTTGTTGCCCTTATTCTGCTGGTATTAAGATAATATTTGTAAAATGATGTTTAAAAACACATAGAATCTTGACTTTGTGAATGCTATTGCAAAAAAAAGTTTTGTGACAAAATGAAAAAATAATAAAAATTAGTCCGAATATCCTCTGCACCACAATATATTTACTTTGTTCTTGCATATTTTCTTCAAACAATAAAATATTTAATTTTCAAATTGATATTGAATTATAACTTAGTTATTTTGTCCATTTAGAACAATTTTTGATTTAACATATTGTACTTCGTAGCTTTCCATTTCTGTAATCTGAAAACCTGAGTAAACGTCATCCTTAAATGGCCATTTGGCAAACATTCCTCACTGCATGAACATTTCATGATGAGTAGAATCATGGACTATTGAACTACCTCTTTAATAAAAATGATGATTGCTTGATTGATTTATGACGTTTTAGTACAATCATGTACTTCAATAAAATGTATGGAGATAACGAACAGTATTCAAGCAAAAAAGTCCATTATACAATACAAATTTTGGAGCAGAGAAAAAACGGACCGGTCACACCCGCCGTGTGCTCCTTGTCATGATTGGGTAATAACAGAAAAATCCGTCGACAATTCAGTGTGTAAGTAATGCCCTAACAATTAGTATGAAAAACGTCAGTCAGCATTTGACTTAATGATAAATTGTATTTGCTGACAAGGTCATTGTATCGACCTTAGAACTTACGAAATGACGACTTTAAACAAGACTGCTGATATTCTTGTTTCATCAACTTGTTTGTCAATAACTTACCATAACTTACCTCGTTTTAGAAATTGTCCATACGTAGAGCATGCACTTACGTATCGAATCAACTGAGGATATAATCCCCGTATGCAGGTGATAAAGGTATAATGCTACATAAGTATCGAATCAACTGAGATATATAAGCCCCATATGCAGTTGATGAAGATATATTGCTACATAAGTAAGGGAAGCTGACGATTGAAAGGTTAAAGTCATCACGTTTATCACAAAGTTTTGTTGTTAGATAACCATTAAAGTATTTTTCTAGTAAAATATCCAAATATGAAACAGATGTGTCAGACTCTGTGGTATTTTTTATTTCCAGCTCACTGGGATAAATCGTATCGACATACGAATGGAAATAACCATTGTTAATTGACAGTACGTCGCAGATATATCTAAATGTCGAGTTGAAAGCCACAGCAAGTGTTTTCTTCTTTTCTCGTACAAGATTTTGAACAAATTCTGCTTCATATGAATACAGAAATTGGTCTGCTAATAACGGGGCGCAATTGGTACCCATGGGAATTCCAATAGATTGTTGGAAGACCTCGTCTCCAACATCACATAGATATTGTCAATCAGAAACTCAAGCATCTTTTTAATATCAACTTCAGAGTACCTGTTTGTACAATCAGAATGTTTTTAACGAAATAATTCAAGTTTGCAAATAACCAATGACAAGGTAAGTAAATTGATGAATTCCATTTTTATTGACAAAGCAGCTGTCAATGATACCAAAAAGCCTGGTCTTTAATTTATCGTGGGAAATGGTTGTATATAAAGTTGAAAAGTCGTAAGTTTTTATGTTGTTGATTTTGGAAAAATTTTGTGATTTCAAATTTTCCAAAAGTTCCTTGGAATTTTTAAGTATCCACATCTGATTTACACCACTTCTTGAATATATTGTTGTACAATACTCCTGAAGTTTCTCTTTCACTACTGTTAATATTTTAGTGAGGAGTAAAGAAAGAATTAGCGCAATAATAAATTAACGCACTAGAGTTATATTAGTTTTAATCAAATTTAAGAGCCGTGTATATAAATAAGCGGTGAAGAAGCAGTGCAAAGGGCGCTAAAATGTGATTTCCGCTAAAATAAGTATGTTTACAGTATATTTAATTACAGATCAGAGAAAGAGAAAGGGGCAACATAAGGGTAGACGACACAGAAAAGATCACTCTCAACCTATTGACAATCAGGAACCCACTGTGTCCCCTCAAGTTGATGTTCTGGAAACTATTATTATACCCGCAGTGTGTAAAGAATGCAAAAGGAAAGACCCAACTCATCAATCATGTATAGCCATATGCCCTGATTTAGGTAATTTTCTTACCAACCAATATATTCAGATAAGGAGTTACATAAAAAAGAGCTTTTTACAAATATTCATTGTATTTTTAATGAACAAAACAAATATGCTTTGAATGAATACATATATAGTTGCACGTATATAGTAGATCTATCATGAATAATTCCAATGATTTATATTTTCCCAGAGTTTGTCAATATTTAAAACATGTTAGTTTAATCTGGACTTCCTCCTTTTTTTACTCTAAAGAGTAAATCTAAAAGGATTTCCAATCACACCCAGATGCGTTCTCTGAGCCCGAATTCTATTGGGCGGACTTTTTTCTCTGAGCCCGAATTCTATTGGGCGGACTTTTTTCTCTGAGCCCGAATTCTATTGGGCGGACTTTTTTCTCATCATTTTTCTTATATGTTATTTTTGTGAAACGAATACGTTCCTTTTGAAACAGTTTGTCTTAAGCTTGTGATATTTTATCGGTTACAATAAATTTTACTGTATTTAACTTCCTGTTTCAGCTACAGATGACTCGGGCAGAGGGGCAACCTTCCTCGGAGATTCATACTGCTACTTCTGCGAATATTACCGCTTCAACAGGAGCTACTATCAGCAATGCAGAAGTCGATTCTGTACTTCTGTGGACCTTTTCATAAAAAATCTTACAACATATTTTTATCTTAAGTGAAAACTTATGATAAAAATCGTTTTCACAAAATTTCTTAAGAAAGTCCTAAGTGCAAAATCTGTCGTAACTTTACGAGAGCCCCAACCCACTCTTAAGTATTTTATAATCGATTTTATTGTAAAAATATAACCGCAAAAAACAAAATACACGTTGCATTAAACTTTTTAAAGCAACTTCCAATAATATTTTAATTTTTTTTTCACAATCATTGTCGAAAAATTAAATGAAATACACTTCAAAATATTTACGATGTAAGTTTCACTTAAGATTTTCGTATGACCTACTTTTACGTCAGACTTGCGGTTGTGACGTCAGATTTTAAACTTCCTTGCTTCACAAACGATTGCATTCGATATTTGTATTCAATAATGTTTGTTTTGCTACAAATGTTGAAAACTAAGTTTTATTTTTATTTTCACACACTTATCTAAGGATTATAAAGCATATTGAAGTCGTTGCTAGGGATGAAGTCTGTCGAAAGTAAAATCTTAAGTTCAATCTGCTACGAATGCGTTCGTGAAAAGCACTTAAGATTTGTGGTAAGAGATTCTTAAGTTAAAATCCTACGCAAAAACTCAAGATTTTTTGTGAAAAGGGCTACTGGTAGATAATAATAATATAGACACTCAGAAAGGAAGGAAAGAAAAATCAGTGGTTTTTGAAATGATACAAAATTGGATTAATAAAATATATCTAAGGTTTCGAAATGTCTTTTTATTTTGAGCTTAAAATAGCTTAGGTGTTTTAAGAAGACTTTCCTAAGAAAATATTTTTCTTCGCGGATACAAAAGAGAGATCACAATCCAGTTTTAGAAAATGGAATATGGCCCATGGGTTTGAGATAATTGTACACAGGTAAAATTGCAACGTATGTTCAACATATGTTTCGAGTAACATATGTTGAACATACGTTAAACATATGTTGTCCATATGAATTTTCGACAGTATGTAGAACATATGTTTAAAATATATGTTGAACATATGTTTCAAATATATGTTGAACACATAGCAGACTCAAAACATATGTTGAACATATGTTTGCGGTAACTATATGTTTAACATATGTTGAACATATTTTAAACATATGGTTGTTTCAAACATATGTTCAACATATGTTTTGAGTTTCACATAAAATTCATACTGAACATCATATAATAACCAATCGCCTTTTCACATTTATTTCATTTAATATTAAATAAATGTTATCGTTATTTGAATTTATTTTATTTAAATTTAACGAGATAAGAAAACATGTTAATTAATTTAATGTTAATCAGTGAACCGGCAATTATTTAATATTAAGCGCAATATGAAAAACACGAGTTAAATGTTATATTTTAACATGTCAGGGGCGGATCCAGCAAATTTTGAAAGGGAGGGTTAGGTCGGTGCCCCTAACACACATGCATAGAATCGTACCATAGGCACTCCAACCCCCTCCCCCGCCCCCTCTGGATCCGCCAATGCAAATAGACTGCATGTTAAAAAATTAATTTCAGTAACAAGTATCAAGATCAATTTGAATACTTTTATTCAAAAGAATGGTCATTTCTTGTAGAAGCTTACATAAAAAGGGGGAGGAGTTAACTACTCTGTTACCCTGCACCCCCTCCCTCACTCGTTTCTCCAAATTCAGCCCCCTCTTTTCTTCAAATTCAAAATTGTCTTCTTGAACATGGTATTCCCCAAATCAAATTTATGAAGCATTAATAAATTTGTATTTTACCCCGTTTTGTTTGGATTTATTTTATGAGTGAAATTAAAATCATTCCACATTTTATTTTCGGACCGGTTTTGGTTTTTATCGGATGAAAGTGTACGTACGTCATTTTTGACGTCTCTGCTGCAGCAGAAGTGCTGGGTGTTATAGAAACAAGTAAGTGCTATCAGTTATGTTTTTAAGAATTTAGTTTATGGTGTTTTAAGAGAATTTCTTTACGGTTACAGATTCATTCGAACTTCTAGTACACTCGTGACTTGCATAACATCTACCTGTAGTTGTAATTAATGCAGTTCGTAAAAAAAACGATACACTTAGACTAGTGATCTTATTTAGGCCTACATGCTACATTATTTTGGATTTGCTTTCAACGAATGTAAAAACTATTTAGCATTGCTATTTTTCCAGATTTGTTTTCCTTTTGTCGACAGTTACATTTGCATATTTATGTACGATCTTGATGAAAGTGAAAGTAGAAATCTTGCATTGCAGTTTGTGTGTAGCCTATGTTAGATGGTTATCCACTCGGCTCTTTTATCAAATTATTAATGGAAAATGTTTGTTTTTATTATGTATTAAGCAACTGGAGTTCAGTGTCAGAGTGCCGTTTTTGTTGAAAGAACCCAACGCTGTTAAGACTGACGATTCAACCCAAAGCTGATTTGACTGAAGATTGCACGATCACAATACAGGTGAAAATAAATACATGTAATATTCACAGTAATTACAGGGTGCATATAAGTCAAAGTAAAGACTCTTTAATAACAAAATATTTTTTTGAGAAATTTCTTCTTGCTTCTTAATTCTACACTGTTTTGCTTTATAAAAAAAATTGAACTGTCTTTTTTCTTGGCAAAAATATTGAAGATATGGATATGGATAGAACTTGCTGGCTTTTAAACTATATAATATCTGAAAGATGATCAATTTCAGTCTAATCTGGCATTCAAGATAATAGTGTACAAGTAAATGTATTTAAAACTGCATCAGATAATTTATTACTTATTTGTATATTAATTGACATAGAATTTTTTTCAACACTAGAGAAACTAGAGACTTGTACTCACTCTCTTTGGAAGTTTCTTTTAAGTTTTGATTGGAATTTGATTAGAAAATATTTACTGTATTTATTTTATAATTTTTATAGGTTCAATATACAGTGTATGAACTTAAATTACATGTAGACTTTAATTTGTACATGTATTTCAGAAAACCTGTATTAATCAACAGAACCTTAAAACTGGAGACTCCACTGAAGTGCCACCCAGTACCTTAATTAACATGTGACAATTTCAAATCCTATGATGAGGTTCCAAGGGGTTGTAAAATGGAAGAAAACAAAGAACAGGCCAAGAAAAAATTTGTAGGTGCTCAAAGTAATTACTCTTTGTGCTAACTAATACTGGTATATATTTATTAATTATACATGTAATTGACATGAAATTTGGACGTCTTAATTTTTATTATTTTTTCTTTATCATTTCAGAAGCAATGCAGTCACTGTTAGGGAAATAAAGCCAGAATTATGTAAAAAATTTGAAAAAATAAACTCAAGATTAATGCTTGATATTGTGTTCTTTGATTTCTTATTATTAAGTGAATAAAGGAAAAGAGAACTATTTAGTTAAGTTTGCAATCCAAAGAAATACAAAATAATTAAATAATAAATGTAAGCAAGAAATAAAATTAACATATGTTTAACATATGAAAAACATATGAACATAAACATATGTTAACCATATGTTCATACAAAACATATAAGCAACATATGTTAAACATATGATCAACATATGTTCATAAACATATGTAAAATATATGTTGCTCGTTTTTTTATGGCGAACACATGTTTCAGAACATATGTTCAACATATGTTAAACAAACGTTGCAATTTTTCCTGTGTATATTGTGAGTGGATATAACTTAGGGTTGCAACCTGAGATTGATTTATTTTTTTTAAGACTATTTTTATTCTGATGAAATTTTAAAATGAAATATATGGAGATGACGAACAGTATTCAAGCTCAAAAGTCCATTAAAAACACAAAATAGGATAAGAGCAAACACAGAACTCCAAACATCAGAGGTGGGATCAAGTGCCATGGAGGAGTGAGCATCCCCTGCCGACCGGTCACACCCGCCCTGGGCTCCTTGTCATGATCGGAAAATAACGGAAAATCCGTCGACAATCAGTGTGTAAATAATGGCCTAACAATTAGTATGAAAACGTCAGTCAGCATTTGACTCAATGATGATTGATTGATTGAATGTTGTTTTACGTCCCATTCGAGAATTTTTCACTCATATAGAGACGTCACCATATACCGGTGAAGGGCTTCAAATTTTGACCTTTACCCGGCACTCAGGGCAATTGAGCAGTGAGGGATCTTTATCGTGCCAACGCCTGCCGTGACACGGGGCCTCGGTTTTTAAGGTCTCATCCGAATGATAAATTGTATTTGCTGACAAGGTCATTGTATCGACCATAGAACTTACGAAATGACGACTTTAATCGAGTGCTGATATTCTTGTTTCATCAACTTGTTTGTCAATAATTTAATAAAAGTGAAATTAGGGCTCGATAGATCAATTTGCTACAGATCAAATCCATTTAACATTACTTAATCTGCAAGGTACAATAATATTTAATTTCCAAATTTTGATATATCCGCATGGAAAATGACAAAAATTACTTCCCCATGAACCTGTTAAAGCAATCCACGAAAATTGAACCCAACGAATTCTAATTTATAATACTACACACCACCGTCCATCAGATGAGACTGTATCGAGTCTCATGTTTAAACATGGTTGAAACGACGTCAGAGACCAAATATTTGTTCAAACAAGTCGAAATTATTGGAACATATTTAGTTCACTGATTTGAGATTGGTATATACGATTTTTCCACCGTGTGTACAATTTGGGAGACACTACAAGAAGTGGAAAACCATGTTATTTGATAAAATAAGATATTCCTATTCATGACGTTGTTATAAATCTAGCGCAATGTGTGACTGGGCTGTGCAGCCTGTGTATACGAACTGTTTATATTGATGGCGCTCGTAAATTATCGTATATTGTTTTGAATTTTGAAAATTAAGTCCATTATGATTTATACATAAATATTAGTGCACACCCTTGACAGTGTGGCATAATAAAGAAAATGTAGCGCTTGTTCATGACCATGCGATATAACTTCAAAATCCAATAGCTTAACATTAGTCTGGGTCGTGAGGCTTATTATACAAAGTATTCACATCTATAACATTCGTACAATAGTGTGTACTAGTATTGTTTTATTTTCAAATATTAACTTAATTATGGTCAATTTTAAAATATTATTGTACAGATTTGCCAGTGCGGACTTTCAGAAAATTATAGCATTTGTCTACTAACTTTATGGACAGCCCTCGCATCGTGTTCAAATGGGAGAAAATCAGAAGGTAAAGTTTTTATCGCCCTTTAAAGTTTCACATATTTGATTATAATTATGCAAAAATATATAAATACCGTTGATGCTTCCCATTCTGCAAGATACAGTATATTATTTTTGAAAAATGATTTCTCTCTGTTAAGGAGCCAAGAAAACATTTAATTAGTCAAAGGAAATACTCATGGCCTGTCAACATTTGCCAAGAATTTTAAAGAGAAATGCACAATGAATGTTAACTGCGTAAAAATGCATACAGCCTTGAAAAAATGTTTCCTCGTTCTACCGAAAGAAATTGTCCTAAATAAAAGACATAATAAGGAGATAAACTCGCCCCTGAATGCTCATATAGAGTTTAACATAGTTTGAGATTTACACCGTATATTGATATACAGATGAAAATGACAGTTTCAGTAGAGAAATAATGGACTTTTTATCTTCGTCGTCATACATAAGGGGTACTTCTTGTTTTCAAAGTAGAGATTATTATGCTCACAATATTAACATTAGGATGTATCAAAGTTTTCCTTATATACAATGTAACGTCGGACAATGTTACTGTCCTCTTGTAAATGTATTAAAAAATCTAATTCATAAATTTTATACTGAAATGAATTATAAAATTAATTTTTTAATTAAAATTATTATTTTTTTCTTATTGCACAATTGCAAAGATTAATTATAACATTGAATCAATTTCATGAGTGATATATGAAAAACAGTAATAATTGTCCATAAGTGTAAATAAACGACACAAGTTGAGGGCGGAGCAATCACAGACCCTTAAAACTCCATAGGCGAGATCAGATGGCATGGAGGAGTAAGCATTTCCTGTCGACCGGTCACAGCGTGAACCCTTTGTCTCAACTGGGAGACGGATAACTCCACAGTCACTCAATATGAAAATAATGGTTTAACAATTTGTATTAAAAATGCCAATCAATATTACACCTACGGTATATGATTATTTTTTTTCTAAATTGGACTGACTGCATTTCGTTTTCTTTTGGTTCTAAATGAATTTGTTTTAGAATCCAGATTAATCAAATCTGAAAAAAAAAATTATGTTATTCATGTACATAAAGATGTACGCAGTGTGATATTCTATCCATAATTCAGAAACAATATAAAGTCTATTTATCATACTTTTCTAAATATGAAGAAAATTCTTCCAATTACTCTCTTTAAACTCAGTAGAATTTCGAATGGATTAAAGTATTTCGAGGTGTCACATCCAATAAAAAGTCCGATTTTAATGCTTATTTCTTGTGTTCTTGTAAAAAATCCTTAAATTGTCGAAATTTCCAGAAACAAAACCTCTTGCTACATGTATCTATGATATGAAAGAAATCTACCCTCACAATATTTGTCCATAGTAGTATCAAATGTGGCAGACCTCTGGAAGATGATGAGGTGGAATCAGGTGCCTAGGAGGAGTAAACGTGCCCCGTAGACCACACCCGCCATGAGCCCTATGTATTGATCAAGTAAACAGGGCAAATCCTAGTCAAAGTTGGTATAAAACAAAGGCCAAACAATATAAAGTCTATTTATTATACGTTTGTATATAGATAAAATTTCTTCCAATTACTTCTGTAAAATTGAACAGCTTATTTGCTTAAACATAAAGAGGAAACTCTGTAAAAGGAATAATGAGATATTTTCCATTGCATGTCGAAATAAAAAGACACTCAAAACACTTTTTCCCATGTTCAGCATTCTAAAATCAGGAACATTACTGTATGCCAAAAATAAGCAACTGTTAAATTTCCAGTGATGATTTGTTCCTGCATGCTTATGATACTGAAAAAAATCTATCAAAAACTCATGTTCTATGAACTACTTCGAAGGACTTGCACTTCATCTGCTAAGTATGAGAATCGGACCATTTAACAGTGTTATTGACTGAATCGTTAAACACAAACAAAACATCACTGCAACTCTTTTTAACCATCCGTGTTGATTTTTTTTTCTTTATTTGGGCCAAATATAAAGAAAAGAAAAGTGATGGTTGGACAAGGATTCAGACCTGGGAACACCTGCTGATTACAACTGTGCAGTTCACATCTGAGTTACATTGAAATAGTAAACGATCGCTGTTGTTTTGTCTTAATAACCCTTTCATTCCGGTGAGGCCAAAACCTTAAATGGAATAAAAAGTCTGAAATGCGCATTATAACTATTCATTTTATCAAAAAGATAAATTCGCAATGAAAGAGAACAATGATTTTTGTTATGTTTCATTTCTTTAGATTTGTATATTTCCTGCTATTTTCAGAACAGCTAGTTGTCTGGCACTTGGTTTTCTTCTCTTAAAAAAGGCGTACACATGTAATTTATTTTGAATGAATTATTTAACTGCTGAAATTTGAATTGTTTTTAAAGTAATCATTTATCTACAAATTAGTTTGCATTACATTTAATCAATGCGGTTTTTTCCCTTTTTTGTAGGGTAATTACGGTTTGCTTTCATTACAATTTTTATCTCATTAAATATCTAATTAACATCTTTGATTTATTCTATATTCATTATTCTTTTTTCACCTCAAGGTAACAGTTTCATAATAAATTTTAAAAATATTTGATGGGGTTATGATCTTCCACTGTTGTTGTTTTAATACTTCTTGTGTAATATTTATTGTTGACAATTTTAGAAGTGCAGCTATAGATGTGAAGCGACTGATACGAGGGGTGATCAAAAAGTTCGCGAACTAATTGAATTACCTCCTTAAAGAAATAAAATGAGGTTCCAGTGTTCAATATTTTTAAGAAGTCCTCTCCGATTTTAATGCACATCTGCCATTGTTCTGCCCATGCGCGAATCAAGTGATCCAGGCGGTCACGTGACATGCTTCGT